GTCACATCTCAGATACGGTGTATTTGATGAATATGGAATTGTTGGAGATCCCAAGTACCCAATGTTTTATAAGGAGGATGGGAAGGTAAGGAAAGCACTTGAAATGTGTTCTGTCCAAATTATTTTAGTATACAGTTTTAGCAATCGTTTATTATCTTAGAAAATATTGCTTTAGAATTAACTATTGACATTTCTGTGATTAAATGGGTATTACTTTAGAGTTACATACTGAGGAATAAGTGTTTCCGTGAATATTAGTTTAGAGTTACATATTTAGAATTAATTGTTCAAGTAGGTATAATTTTAGAGTTACATACTGGTGTTTTTATATAAATATTACTTTAGAATTTAATATTGAGAATTTAAATTTTAGATAAATATCACTTGAGAGTTAAATATTGAGGGCTTAAATGTACTGCGCATGATCAGAAAGTTGGAGATGAATGTTGTATTTGGATCACTTGGTATTTACTAGAAGGGAATTATTGCTACTCAACACGGAATATACTGTGTGTAATCATCTTTTTTAGTCAGAAATTGAACCATGTTTAGTTTGACAATTTATGTGATTAGTACTATTATGAGTGAGTCTATTAAATTATCTAGTGAGAAAAGTCAGTGCGTGAATTATATTGTTTCTTCTAAGAAAATGATAGTTCTTTAATCAACCGTGAAAAATAAAATCTGTTTAGTTTGTGTGAGAGAAGAACAGAACTACATCTTACTGGATTGTGTGAGTGAATAATAGAACTACATCTTACTGGATTGTGTGAGTGAATAATAGAACTACATCTTACTGGATTGTGTGAGTGAATAATAGAACTACATCTTACTGGATTGTGTGAGTGAATAATAGAATTACATCTTACTGGATATTTGTGAGTGAATAATAGAACTACATCTTACTGGATTGTGCGGATGAAGATCATAACTGTTTCTTACTGGATTGTGTGAGTGAATAATAGAACTACATCTTACTGGATTGTGTGAGTGAATAATAGAACTACATCTTACTGGATTGTGTGAGTGAATAATAGAATTATATCTTACTGGATTGTGTGAGTGAATAATAGAACTACATCTTACTGGATATTTGTGAGTGAATAATAGAACTACATCTTACTGGATATTTGTGAGTGAATAATAGAACTACATCTTACTGGATATTTGTGAGTGAATAATAGAACTACATCTTACTGGATATTTGTGAGTGAATAATTGAACTACATCTTACTGGATTGTGCGGATGAAGATCATAACTGTTTCTTACTGGATTGTGTGAGTGAATAATAGAACTACATCCTACTGGATTGTGTGAGTGAATAATAGAACTACATCCTACTGTATCGTGTGAGTGAAGACAATAACTGTTTCTTGCTGGATTGTGTGGGTGAAGAACAGAAGTGTACATAACTAAATTGTGTGTATAAAACTAGAGGCGTATGTAACAAGATTGTGCATGAAAGAAAAATAAATCGGCGAACCTTGTTATATATCAAAAAAGAAATTTGCTGAATTAAAAATAATACAAGCCTTATGTAAATAGCAGAAAGGTATTGTTAACCAATCTGCTTTTAATTCGATATTAAACCATTTCTTTAACGTATTCATTATTTTTATGCACCATTCACAAACTATTATATAGAGTAACTTGGAAAAATAAAGAATAGATTAGTTCAAATTATAGGTTCTAATATGTGCATAAATATTAATATTTATTCTATAATTCGAGTATTATAAGTTATGTTATTTGTAAACCAGCACTGTATAACAGTAATAAAATTGATATAAATCAAAACCAAATCGTACACAATGAGACTTGTCCTTGTCATCACCATTAACTGATAACGGAAAATGTTTATATAGATACACATAAATATTATTATATATTTATATAGGTACTACCTACGACGTGTATGCGCAACATAACAGGATGGATTCAGCCCGTCGATGGAGGAACTTGTACCCTTTTTGAAGATGAATATCTTGAGGGTGACTGTAAATTCATCCCTGACATTGAGAACCAAGTAGTGAGAGCATCTCTGATGTATATGCCATTTATCAAGTCGGTAAGCTTAATAAGTTAGTTCAATTTAGATTTGATAGAAATTATATAATGGTAAACCTAATAAGTTAGTTCAATTTAGATTTGATGGAAATTATATAATGGTAAACCTAATAAGTTAGTTCAATTTAGATTTGATGGAAATTATATAATGGTAAACCTAATAAGTTAGTTCAATTTAGATTTGATGGAAATTATATAATGGTAAACCTAATAAGTTAGTTCAATTTAGGTTTGATAGAAATTATATAGTGGTAAGCCTAATAAGTCAGTTTAATTTAGGTTTGACAGAAAATAAATAGTGGTAAGCCTAATAAATTAGTTCAATTTAGGTTTGACAGAATATAAATAGTGGTAAGCCTAATAAATTAGTTCAATTTAAACTTGATAGAAATTAAATAGTGGAATGGAATTTGGTAAAGAAAAGCAATCTATCCATTCATTAAAATGAAACATAAAGTGATGATAGTTAAAACCCTATAAATATTTTCTTGTATTAAAATAATTAATTAAGTAAACTAAAAGTCACCTTAACTCTGACTTTTCCATTCTTCATTTCTCAGTTTGTTTTTGTTTTTTAGTTGTTAAGCGCAAAACTACATAATGGGCTATTTGTGCTGTGCCCACCACGGGTGTCGAAACCCGTTTTTTAGCTTTATAAATCCAGAAGCTTTCTGCCGAGCCACTGGGAGGGGGGGGGGCATTTCTTACTTCTGTTTAAGCGCAAAGCTGCTCAATGGACTTTCAACGCTGTGCCCACGGCGGGATCAAACCTCAAATTACCAGGAGGGGAGGTATATTGGAAGAAACTGGGGTGGTTTAATACATTTATAATCATACAATAAACTGTTAGCTGATGTTTCCTTGTGTAATTAAAGTTTTATTTAACTTGTAGTAGTAAACAATAACATTAATAAATGGGTTTAAAACAATGCATGTATTTTTAGACACTATTACGAGGTTGAGAATATAGTAAAGTCTTTGTGAAACTGGGCATGTATGGGTGTTATAAACAAATAATTAAAAAGACAGTTAATAACAGGGACGCCGAAAGAAAACAAATAGGCCTAACCCTACGTAGGAAAATCCAGGGGGGATGGGGAAGCGTCATTTCCAGCAGGAATTTGAGAGTTGAGCTTCATAAAATAGGAGTACCAGAGGATAAAGCCTTCGGACGATTCACGATAATACTGAAAGTCATGTATTTTCTGATTTTTGAAAGTCGCCAGTTTCTAGCTTTTGTGTCTTTTTTGTTGTTGTTTATGTATTAATCTCGGTTTAAAAATTGTGGGATAAAAAAAAACATGCCCATGCGCACTGCGCATAAATGGAATGACATTCTATTTTAAAATTCTTTTGAAAAAACAACAAAATGACTCATGGTATTATTCTCTGGACAAAAATAATTTCAAAAAAATAATGTTACAGTTTTTCTAACAACGGGGAATTATCCTTAAATTTTAAGACATTTTGACTACAGAATTCGTATTATGAGTAATCTTAACAGCAGTGCTTACGCGCTTTCTTAGTTCTGAGAATTACTGATAAAATCCAAGAACCATAAAACTGCATTTTTGTTGATTCTGTAACATCTTAGAACATTTCATAAATTGCTTCTGGCGTTTAGTTAACAGGTATGGCTAAGTCTAAGCGAAGTATGCAATTATATACTTAATGGTTGAGGCCAATGTAGTGGTACTTAGCTCTAAAGTTTCTATAAGTCATAGAGTGGCGATCATACTTCTTGTACGATTACTGTCTGAAGTACGTGAAATAGCCTTATGTATGTTTGTTTTCTTGAATTTCGCGCAAAGCTTATTCAAGGGCTATCTGCACTAGCCGTCCATAATTTTGAAGTGATAGACTAGAAGAAATACAACTAATCAGCACCACCTACGGCCAACACTTGGTCTACTTATACATTATAACGCCCCCACAACTGAAAGGAAGAGCGTGTAAAGTAGCGGTATTCGATCCCACAACCCGCAGATTGCGAGTCGAGCGCCCTAACCACTAGGCCGTGCCAGGCCTAACAGCCTCGTGTTTTTTTATTTGTTAACTTCCTTTTCTCGACGAATAGTGAATTACAGTGTTATTCAAATATCTCAAGTGTGTTTATTATTTGTGGCTAGTAAAGGACTCTACATGTAAACCAAGTCCCATGTCTATTATTTTGTCTCATATTCCACACTCTTTGGTACAGATTGACGGATACTGTGATGATACCCAGGAAAGACTTCATAATGATAAAGCCCCAACGAAACAAAATGTTTTATGCGAGTACAAGTCGACGTGGGAAGTTATATCTAAACATCCTGATTTTTCAACTCCCAGGTATACTTTAAGTTTTGAAACCAGTTTCATTCAAAGTCATAACATACTGGTACTCAGCGTCCTCTGTTGGCTGTTTTTTTTTCAAAGTACCTCAACTTCGAAACTTGATTTATTCATTTTATCTAAAACTTAAAATGCACCTAGAGTAATTGTAGAAAAACTGGCAACAATTTGACGACAGTCAGCGTTAAATACCGTATTGCCCTAATTAACGCCCCCAGGGCGTTGCAAACTGCAAAAGAGGGCGCTAATTTTTCGCATGTGATTTGTTGATATAAATGCAATAAGTGTGTATGTATGTTCGTTTTTCTCTTTTTTTTCCAAATCAAAATCCCGGTAATAAAAGTGGATTATATGTTGTATTACTTTGCTGTCACACAAGGTAAGCTTTGTAAAATTACCGGAGGGGGGCGATAATTTGAGATGGGGCTTTAATTAGGGGCAATACGGTAATTCTATTGGTTGGAAGCTCAGAACTGATTTGTAGTTCGATCAAATGATCTGAGAAGCAGTGAATAGGAAAATATTGAACAAAAAAACTCAGAGCTTGCATTTATTTCAAATTTAACCTCTTACTTTTATCACAAAATGTGCTTTTTATATATTTTACTGTAAGGTAATGGTTTTTTTTTCAACACTATTCCAAATGATTTTGTAACAGAAATAAGCTACTTTTCAAAACTCACCTATGGTTACTTAATCAGATGTTCTTGATGTTTTTCTAGATCTTCCCAAATTAAAGAAACAAAGCCAACGTTTCGTATTCTGCAGAGAGCAGGAGAAATAGCAGGTCGTTTTGTACTTGTTTTAGATGTTTCGTTTAGTATGAAGGTGAGATCATATTAAACATCGTTAATACATAACCTCTCATATCTGTCCGTATATGAGAACAAAAAAAAAACAGCACGTTGATAAAAATATTAAAAAGAAAATGTTGTAGAAGACTAACCTGTTTTAAGTAATTCTATGATTTTCTGGAGAAAAACGAAAATGTAGATTAAGCAAGGTTCAATATAACATTCTTGCATATCGAATAAATATGTCTTAGATAGTCTTAACTAATTCCAGTCTGACAAAATAAATGAAAGAAAACAAAAATGGCGGTTTTCAAGGCCTAAAAAGTAGATAGTCAAGTTGATAAGAACACTTGTAATATACACAGCGAATTATTTAAAATTTTTGATTCAATTTTTAGCCGTTTTGGTAGAGTAACTCTATATTGCATGCATTGTGAAAATACGGTGGAAAAAATGTTTTTTTTTAATTTCTTACTATAATAGGTTTATGTTGCACAAAATATAATTTTGTATAATATATTTTGGTCAATTTTAAATGGTTACGTTACCTAGAAGTAACATTGTTTAGTTAAAGAACAATCGAAAATAATTCCATGGTTTATTTAGAGTGGTACCTGGAAGCGCCCCCCAGTGGCACAGCGGTATGTCTGCGGACTTACAACGCTAAAATCCGGGTTTCGATACCTGTGGTGGGCAGAGCACAGATAGCCCATTGTGTAGCTTTGTGCTTAATTATAAACAAACAATACCTGGAAGTAAGAGCATCAGACTACAGAAGTGAAGCATTTGTATGTGTATTGGGCAACAGTGATAAAATTGTTGCCTGTACGTTATAATGTGTAGTAGAGGGTAAATCAAAAATTAGACATATTAAGATCTCAGTTAGTGAATTTTCGGTGTTTAATAATAGTTTAGGAAGTACAATTACTGGTGATTCTGAGATTTTGTGCAGTCTGATTTTAATCAGAGAACTGAAACAAAACTCTGGGTTGCCTACTGTTAGTGACTGGCTTATTTAAGTACACATATTAATTAGATATACATCTTGGGGGAGGTGGAAATGTAGAGTTATACCAGCGTTCCTTTTTGAACATCAGCATTATTAGTATTAGAATATATTTTATGTTCATACTTATTCTACTATAACACTTCTCTGATATATTGTACACTATAACATTCAGTACACTTTATTGAAACAATGCAGTCGCTGAACGTACTTCCCAGTGCTCTAAGATAATGGTCTACTTTACTGCGCGGAAGGAGTTGCTACGTGTAACATTTTGGTGGTGCTGTATGATGTTCTGTTGTTTCCCTTTATAAAAAAAACAAAAAACTTTTGTTTAAGTAATGGGCACTATACAGATCAAAAGAACGAACTTTCCATGTAGGTGACATTTATTGTTTGACTACTATTCAAATAATATTAAACGATTTCTGTTAACATGAAAGACAAAATCTGACACTGCTTGAAAGCCACCTGGCTTGTACCTTCTAATGTTTAGCTAGCGAACGAACCTTCGATCACAGCCCTACAAACTAATATTAGGTAGTTAAAAAACACTCAGCCTAGTATTATTTTCTCAAAACTATATGCTTTTGAAAATCTTATAAGCAAATGTTAGTTCTAATAACTGTTTTTATATGCGAATTGCTAAGACTGACGACTAATTCGTTTCTTTTCAAACGAGATATATAAAGTAAATGATATTATATACAGTTTTCATGTAAGCTCTGTATAATGCGATTATTATTTTATTTTTACTTTTTAATCTAATCAGTTATGAGCACCCATTTCCTCTAGAGTGAGATATCACTTCTATTGTGTTTATCTGGCCAAATAATCACTCACCAAAAACGTATGTCGAAATCTAAAGATCGTTCTGTTGCTAGGCGAGACAAAATTCACACGAGAACATTTGGAAGTTCCATAAGCAAGAAATGACGTACACTTTAAGAGTTTATGATATTCAAGAAACATCGTATTATATGAACATAGGTTTCAAGTTTTACAGAATTAAACACAAGTTTATCAAAACTATATATGAAAGGCAGAACTGATTGATAATGACATGACTGATCGAAAAAAAAAGTTCCTAAAACTGGAACTTAATAATTGACTGAAATATCTATATCTTTATGTTGCGTTAATACACATGATTTTCTGTAGTTTGAATTTATTTCCAATGGGACATGTTTCTAATAAGTTCATAAAACGTTGTGATTGTGCTTTGTTACTATAATTTCGAATCAGCACGGTTAACACATTTTCTATCGTCCATTGTTGACAAATCAAAAAACAAGTTTGCGCACTACGTTCTTTGTTTGATCAAATTTTTAATTCATGACACTTGAAAAGTTCGCTATCTACATTCTAGTTTACCGGAGAGCGCTACACAATTTCCTTACATTTTATATATTTCTTTGTGTTTTCTTTTGCACTTATAAACAGGGTAGGCCAATAGAGATTCTTCACGAAGCTTCTTCGAGATTAGTTTACGATTTCATTCCAAACGGGAGTTATCTTGGAATTGTGTCATTTGGAGGAGAGAGTGAGATATCATACTCTTTAACTCTGGTGACACCTGAATCAAGACCGTTACTAGGGAGAGCCCTGCCAAGCAGCGGAGATCTGATTTCAGCAACGAGCATAGGGAAGGGACTGAAAGAGGGTATTCGGGTAAGGCTTGAAATATCACACGTTTTTCCACATTTCGTAGTATTTAATGGCATGTTTCCAATAACTAATTTACGTTGCTATATTAAATTAAAATTGTGTAAAAGTTCACCTGTTGAAACGTTTCGTAGTTTCTTTCCCACTTCACAAGCTTTATAAAAATCAAAATTAAACTTATGTATAGGTGTGTAAGTTATACGTGTAATAATTATAAATATAGAACTCCCATTGTTGTGTTTAATAATTTTTGTTGCAAAACTACACATGTGTAGCTTTGTATTAACAACAAACAAAACTACATATGTGGTTATTTGCGCAAGAGTGAAACAATGCAAACAAAGAACGATCGTTATGCGGTGCTACCCAGTGGCTCAGCGATAAGTCTGTTGGCTTACGACGCTAAAACTCTGGTTACGATACTCGTGGTGGGCACAGGTACCCCAACGTGTAGCTTTGCGCTTAACAGCCAAACCAAAAATCGTTATGCGGTAAAACACACCATATACCCACCCTTAGTTTCTTAACGTTGGCTCTCTTGAGCCTCTACATTCATATCTATTGTAACTTTAGATGTATTCTAGTTAGTGGGTGTATTCCATTGGATGATTGCTCCAAGAACTATCTAATCTCCTTTTCAAACACTACGGCTGTGGTGGAACTAACTATCCTCTTTGGTAGATGGTTATTTTCACAGTGGAGAACAGAAAGAACTAGTTGAACATATTTTTCGAAAATGGCCAGTTTTACGAACAGGATTATAAACGTGGTGTGTTGTATTAGTAAATTTTAACCGGTGTGTAAAACATGGATGCTGACACGTTTACAAGAAAGAAACATCTACATCCAAAGAGGTTCGAGTTAGTTAGCACTAACTTATTTATTCCAACCCCTTTACCTACACCAGCAACAACAATTTTCAACTAGGACACCGGTTTTCAAACTGGGTTCCGTGGAATCAGAAGGTTCCGCGAAGGGTCATCAAAGGTGGCAGTTAATGGAGATTTTTTTAATAATAGAATATCAACCAAACAAATGTATTTTTAAAAAAATTGATTATTTTTATTTTGCTATTTTACATGAGTAATACTGTTACGAACTTGGTCACTTTCATCTAGTCAAGGCTTTAAGGGTGGGTTAATAGTTGAAGTTCGATGATGGAAGGAATGAAATAAGAGGGTTCCATGGCTTCGTAAACATTAAAAACCGCTGAACTAGGATATGCAACTAGCGCCACCTGTCCTTTGCAGTGAAACGTAATGTAATGTGTTTTTTTTATAAAGGTACACACCCTTTATTATGGCATTACTGCTTTACTTTGTCGGAAGTTCTTAATGTGTTAAATGTTGATTTTGTTTTTTTTTATATATGAACATTAAGTTTGCTCAGTAGAGCATCTAATAATTTGATAACTGTCAGAAGTGAATTTTTTTTCTCTTGTCTAATAGCTTGGTTGGTTGTTTCGAATTTCGCGCAAAGCTACACGAGGTCTATCTGCGCTAGCCGTCCCTAATTTAGTAGTGATAGACTAGAGGGAAGACAGCTAGTAATCACCACCTACCGCCAACTCTTGGGAATAGTGGGATTGACCGTCACATTATAACGCCCCCACGGCTGAAAGGACGAGCATGTTTAGTGGGACGGGGATTCGAACCCGCGAGTCGAGCGCCCTAACCACCTGGCCATGCCGGGCCTTGTCTAATAGCAAAATAATAATAATACAGATAAATTTAAAAAGTTGTAATCGTCATTGTTAAGGAATATTATTTTTATAACAAAATTTATTGGTTGGGATAGAAGCAGCGCCGACTTTAATAATAAGCGAGACAAAATCGTATCGTACTTTTATTTTTAGGAACGATTTTGAAAAGTTATTTCTTATTGTCCTAGGGACGTATACATTCTAATAAATATAAAACATTAACGTTAGATATAACTTACAGTTTCATTTGAAATTTACCATTTAATAATTAACCAAGCATACTAAATAAACAACATTAAACATAAAAGGAGCATATAGTTTCATATAAAACTTAGCAACTAATTATTAATGACTCATAATCTAATTAAAAGAATTTGAAATCTCATATTGTTTCATTTTTCTCTAGGTTTTGAAAAACAGTAGGCAGTCTGTTGAAGGCAGTCTCATAATCCTCATCACAGACGGTGAGGAGAATACACGACCTTGGATACAAGAAGTTTTACCCATCCTGTTGAGAGAAAAGGTTGTAGTTAACGCAATAGCCTTGGGGAACAATGCTACGAAGAAGCTTGAGAATCTAGCGACCTCTACCGGTGGAAAAAATTACAACTTTTTTGACATCAATGGACAAACGCCATCTAATTCCTTAGACTCGGCTTTAATCGACTCTGTCACTTCACAAACTGCAAACGAGCTGCAAGGAGTTCAGGTATGTTGAACCATCGTTTTGGGTTCTATGTGAATCGGAATAACCATTATATATATAACACCACACTAAAACATTTCAAGACGTTAATTAATTGGGATTACATTCACCGATGTTGTTCTCGTGAATTTCAAACTGAGATCAGTATATAATATTAGATTATATTATTTCTCCTTATCTTTGAAACCTTTTATAGTATACCAAGCTACTTCGTAACTTTTTAAGAATACTTAGACACAGATTTTTTGGTTCAAAATAGTTTCCTAAAGTTTTTATACCACAGTCAAACACTCCCGACAACTTATTTTCATTCAAATAATTTTTTTATGCATTAGACTTGTACGTATAAGTAAAATATATTTGCAGGTATTTTTCTGTTATTTTTTCGAAACCTACCTATAAGATGTTTCATATTTAAAATAGTTTTTATCCGCATTAACTGGGTGTATGTATATTTTAATAATAGATTTAAGAATTGTTTGTTTTTTTAATTTCGCGCAAAGCTACACGAGGACTATCTGCGCTAGCCATCCCTAATTTAGCAGTGTAAGACTAGAGGGAAGGCAACTAGTTATCACCACCCACCGCCAACTCTTGGGCTCCTCTTTTACCAACGAATAGTGGGATTGACCGTCACATTATAACGCCCCCACGGCTGAAAGGGCGAGCATGTTTGGTGTTACGAACCCGCGACCTTCGGATTGCGAGTCGAGCGCCTTAACCAACAGATCATGCCGGGCCAGATCTAAGGATATTTCTACTTTTTTCCTGTAAAATGTCTATTTGATTGTATTACGTTTTGACCTGGAAAAAGTGAATAGGTCAACGAAGGCTAAACAACAAGTGAAACAATGTTCAAAGCCACATGACTGTCCACTTTTCTTGTCGCAAAGAGACAAAAAAATATAATTGAAATATCAAATATAATTTTAATACAGCCGTTCATCATCGCACGTGATAATAGTAATTAAATATAAAAATACAAATCTCTTATTAAAAGAAGGTACTCTACCCTGTTTGATTATTTCAAGTGGACTGGTTTAAAAGATAATTACAGGTTTTTGTTTAACATTCAATGAGACAGTGCTAGTAACATATCAGTCGTCTATAACGGCTGATTTAACCTGAGTAAGGTTTATTCACAGTTTTGATCAAAATCCAAAATATATCAAATTGCACTGTGACATAATTTTTGTAACAAACGTGTTGTAAAACTACAATAAGAAACAATACTTCATTTTCAAATTCAAAACTTTCTTTACTTCAAGACAAATTAAAAAATAAATAACGTGGAAGTGCATGTATTATAATGTTTATAAAATATCCATTTTACGGACTTCGGACAAACTATACGCAAGCATTTAAACCAGATAATACGATATAATGATAAGTTATTTAGTCATTTTTAAATATAATAATATTATAATTTCCCAAGCTTAGTTTAATCGTGATGAAAGGTTTGAATTCGTATAACTCTGTTTCTTGTGTATTTATGCGCTTTTGTTATAAACATATTTACTACAATATTTTGGTTTGTGATATGATTTCCCACAACTAATATCCTTCCAAGGTTTATTTTACTTAGTTCCCTATCTCCTGAGGGGTTGTACCGTAACGTTAATAATCAGGTTTCAATATCCACTGTGGGCACAGTACAGGTAGTCCATTGTGTTTCTTTGAGCTTAGTAACAAACAAATAGTTCCCTGGTAGGTCGGCAGTAAGTTTAAAGGCTTACAACACTAAAATCCGGGGTTCAATTCCTCTCGGAGGAGAAAGCGCAGATAGGCCATTGTGTAGTAGCTTTGCGTTAAAACAGAAAACACGATACTTTACTTAAAAGAGCTAATCGAAAGGTCGGAAACAATTCTCAAATTTCATATACAAAAATTAAGATGTATATACTGTCTATATTTAACAGGGTATATCTACAACTTTATTAGTGATTCATAAGTAATTTTTGTGTGACATTTTCTTAGCTGATATAATTTCTTCATGTGAGTATTGTTACGTTAAATCCAATACGTTACGTTAGTCTAATAATTTATTTGAAAACCAGTTTTCCTGTTTCAAAACAAAGCAGTTATATTTGAGTTTTTGTATTAGTTTTAAATGGAGAAAATATAAGAGCGAAACGTCTAAATCTTAATAAATAAACATAAAAAAAGGTGAAGACAGAGTTCAGTCCAATTAGATGATTCGTAAATTTATTTTATGCCACCAGGTGTTTTGGTTTTCTTATTGGAAGCGCTTTACTTATAACATCAAAATGCAATTAGTTTGTTTTTTTTCAAGAGTTTGTATCTTACCAAATCCAGTTGTGAACTTCATATTCAGTGTTTATGCTTAATCATTAATTCAGTACGAATAATAGCATGGCGTTTTTCAGCATTTTGATTTTAAAAAAAGATTATGATAACTTAATTTTTTTAATGTAACAACCTCTTTAAGGATTCCCTTATAAAACTGTCAAATGTTAAGTAAGTGTAATTCATAAAATGTATTTGAGCCGCTCAAAACAACAACAATGGCGGTACATCAAATCCTTTCATAATAGGACATTTATAATGTTTTTATATTATTATGTCTTATTAATTGATTTGTGAAGTGATAACTAGTTTTCATATCTCTAATCGATTTAATTCATAGATCACGAACCGAAATATAAGATTGACTCAAAGCATTATTGAAGAGAAAGTCATAATTGACAATGAATTAGGCAAGAATACTATTTTCACTGTGAAAAGTAACCTCATCGAGGTGATTGACGTCATGCTGAAGAGCCCTAGTGGAATGATTTTCGACAGCACGAGCCCAGAATATAACAGAGACAACACTATTCGGAAAAGGGTCCAAGTGGTGATCGAAGCAGCAGAGGTATGTTGGACTCATCTCGAAATGAACATTTGCTCAATAGAAGAAGCATACGAACTACGTAACTTACTAAAATTCTAACAGATGTTGTAAGAAGCATACGAACTACGTAACTTACTAAAATTCTAACAGATGTTGTAAGAAGCATAGAACTACGTAACTTACTAAAATTCTAACAGATGTTGTAAGAAGCATACGAACTACGTAACTTACTAAAATTCTAACAGATGTTGTATTTGTTTGTTTGTTTTGGAATTTCGCGCAAAGCTACACGAGGGCTATCTGCGCTAGCCGTCCCTAATTTAGCAGTGTAAGACTAGAGGGAAGGCAGC